AGGGACAATTGATATATCTCTGAAGTTGTATATTTTTTTGTGCTGGTTCGCTAGTCGTAGGAACATTCAAATATAACAGGAACATTTTTCTTCAAAAGCGTAAGAGACATGGTGAAAATTGGTCGCGACAACTAGGTGAAAAATATGTAATAATACAATAAGTAATGACAATGAAATGAATCATGACATGGCATGACAAGACTTTACATGACATTATCTTACGTGATGGATTTGATATCACAATATATAAAACTTACACTTCGCTATTAGAATCGCGAATCTAGTCATGCTTGAATCATGACATGACAGTCCAGGATTTGACATGGTATGTCATTACATGATGTGACGTGGTGGTTTTAATAATAACAAATATATATAACGTTCATTTCGCCATTGGGAATTGACATCCTGCCTCGCTTATGACTATCAAGTTTATCAGTCGATTCAGTAGTCACGTAAAGTCTGTTCAAAGTTCTAGGATAATCTGTTATACGCTTTTGGTAAACCAGTTCATTATGAAGACAGTTTTATGTCCTAGATACTGGAATGGTCTGTGGTTACCGAATTATTGATCTTAAACGCCGTCTGCTTCATTTCATACTGATTGGGTAAATTTCTTTCCCTCTTTCGTATCATTCAGGTGTTCATCATGGTTGACCCCAAATCGCCTTCCTGTTTCTCCGTCGCAGTTCTCGCATCCGATATTGTACACGCATTTTCGACGCTTATTTAAGTGTTTTATCCTTAGGGTGTACTAGGATATTACTAAACGTCTTGTGTGGTTTCATGGCTGTTGCAATATAAAATTAAAATCATCTGTAAAGTATGTTTATTATGAACCGTGCCACCGCCCAAAAGAGATAATGGTGGCCATCCACTCGAAGGTTACCAAACCTCGGGGACTAAAAAGCCCACCAGCAGAGTCCATAACCTAGTATATAGAAAGATGAGGAGACATCATGACCAGAGTTGGATACTTTTACATGGTCTATATGGGCTCTGTTAATGCGATGTAAGATATGTCACCCTTCTGAAAAACCTGGATCAGCTACGGCCTCTTTTGTGGTTTCATAATGTCTTTCCTTTAAAAGGACTATTCAGTCAAATGACAACCAGAAAATCGCGCCGATACTGAAACTATATATCTTCTAACGAAAGTTTACGTTGTTGATAATGACATGACCTGAAGCCAACGTCCAGTGTGGTTAGTTTCATCTTTTGGGAAAGCCTGTGATAAAAATAGGTTCGACAGAAATAGCGCAATATTCGGGCCCATCAATGAGTTGTAAACATGTACAGCACTACGCTGTCGACCGACAACACAGTGTCAGTTATGAGTCTGAGTTCACACATAAAACATTCTTGGCACAATACATCGCAAGTTAGAATTATAAGTATCATAATATATACCTCTAATCAGATATTTCTGTTCACATTTGGATTTGAATAAAAACTAGCAGGTTCAATAAGACGCACTGAGAGTGTGCCGCAGGGACAATTTCAAACCGCAGAAAGTACGATATCAATATGATTAAACTCATTTATAACGATGTTTGAGATGCTGTTGGAAGATGATTTCGCTTCAAAATAAGTTCATGTACTTGTTTTCCAGAGAGGCAATGTGAATAAAGAGAGAAGTTACCTTTTCTCCTCGGCTGGAAAGACGCCTTTGTTAGCTAGAAATTTAGCTAGAAATTTACCGACAGCTGCCGCTAAAACGTACGGCTGTACAGTTAAGGATTTATCAATTACTGGTTAAAAACGCCATGAAAACATTGTCTCTTGTTAATTTCTTGACATGAATTATTTATAAGGAGTATCAGACTATACGATAATGAAGAATTTTGTGACAAGGTTATAAAAAAAACTTAATTCACTAAATTGTCCCTTTAAGTTTTGGTATTTCACCAATTCTTATTTTTTTTATTACTTATCGACTCTGGGTATTTTTGTGTTTGTGTTTGTCACCTTTTGGTTTGTGTGTAATTCGATATTACGAAACGATTTATTAGATATTCGGTTAGTGTGTAATTTTGTATAAATTTCATATAGAATCAATTGCATTTATAAATATTTAATTATTTACTGCATTAGCGAACAACTCCTTCCACGAACTATTGTGGCACATTTTACAATACGAATAATAAAATGGAAAATATTGTTTACTAAAAACCACACAATGAAACAAATCCTTAACTTCAAGAAATAAAAAGCAAGTACGCTACTTTAACACATTTTATTTCAACACAGATAATAGAACATGTAATATCACAGACCACGCGATCGTCAGCAAATGTCAGTGTATAGTAAGGAACCTTATAGGCGAAGTACAGTGATACCTCAAAATACTGCCCCACTTTTCGTTTGCCACCTTAACAATCCTCAACCATTTTCAAGGTCCAAACTTCCTTTTTTTCTTACCAATTCTTTTCAGATCTCCCTCAAGATATCGCCAAACCTCTTTATTTCGCCAACGTTTTGTTAGCAAAACAGCTGCAGTATTAGGAGATTTTACTGTACACTGTATAGCGAGATATATATGTTATTATGAAATTTATCCTATTTCGAAACAGTCATACAAACATTTTTAAGACTAAATGTGCATATACCAAAATCTGAATACGGTATTCCTATTATAAATGAGTTATTTTCGATTAGTCCATACAAATAAAATCAAACTTTCCTATCCAATTTTTGTCAAACTTATTTGATATTTTGGTAGAATTGAAAACGATACCATCAAGAGAAATATTCTAAAACATTTCAATACCAAACAGATCAAGATTTTAAGTATTCAATTATTTTCAAATATGACGCTACACAGTAAGTAGAATAAATATATATCTTGTGGAATGTAATCTTAATGTCAATGCTCTTGGACGGATAACATGTTATAATTATTGATGCGAAAATATGTTGCTTTTAAAATAAACATTCGAATTTTTCTAAATAATTTCTTGCTTTCTGACGAAGTCTGAAATATGGTATGTTTTCTATTGGAGTCTAATCTAAAAAAAAATATTTAATTACTAGCGTGATAAATCTTTTATAAGTAATTATTATTTTGAGAAATTTTCTTGAAACATGAAAAACAGTCTTATAATGAACATTTTGATCTTCACTTTTGGAAAGTTATTCTCTCTTTATGTATCACTTATCTTTCGAACAAATTTTTTACTTCGCCTTTTTTCCTTTCAATATTATCTTTCAGTTAATATCATGTAATGATAAAACATATTTTAGGATGATACCATTCTACACATAATGTCTAGACTAGATTGGAATATAACACCAAAAGCAAAATATTTCATAATTAATAACAAATGTTAAATATTTTAATTTGTAAAAGATCTCATATAGAAAACGAAATATAAATTACTAAAACTTCAATGTTTTGTTTTATTATATTTTATCTTATCTTCATTATTTATCTACATGTAATTATCCTCTCCATATTGTTGAAACAGTTTTATAGCCCTGTCAGTGTCATTTATATATACTGTTCTTTACTCTACTATAATGTCTTATTAAGCTTTCATCCATTAATATATTAAACTCAGTGATCTAGTTTTATTATTTCATTATATATTGAATTGACTGGTTCAAAGTCTTTTCTTCCTTTTTCAACAAAATGCCTTTGTAAAATAAATTAAACAACGGTTTTGTTTTAAGATATATTCAACAACATACCAAAAGCAAAATTGCTATTATTTAAAAAACAAAACGGCATAAATCATAAAAAAATGTTATTCAATTTATTTATTTATTATTAATATAAAAACAAATAACCTTGTTTTGTTAATCTAATATTGTACATGTTTTCATTATCTAAGGAAAACGTGTTAAATATAACTTTCATTTGGAGTTATTTATGGTAAAAATATTAACCTTGCCATTATATATTCATGTTGAATAATGAATATAAAAAAGATCCATCTAGCGAATTAAAAACAAAACAATATTTAAATGAAAATGACACAAAAATATGCATTTTTTTTTTTTTATAATGCCAATTCGAAAACTTTGAGCACAAAACAAAATCTACCTACAGCAATCTCTTACCACCAGTCAGTATTGGTTCATCGTCATTCTCTATATACACTGTAAATGTTCTACATACAGGCGTATAAAAATATTTACAAAAACACTTTAAACAGTGGTATAGATAAAAACATTAATAGTTGGAGTGGTTTATAATCTTCTATTTTATTTTTGTTTTTAAAAGATAAAGAGCATTTGACCCTATATCTGTGCTCCTTGTAATGTACGCACAAATATATATTATATATTTTATGATGTTGGAATTCAAAATCGTGCGGGATTATTTTTTTGTTTTGTTTTGTATTTAGGTGGGTTTTTTTAAACATTTTTCATCAATACCCTAAAACGGTACAATAACAATGAATTTGTTTTTAGTTATTTGTATATTCCTTTTAACGAAAACACTCAGATGAATATATTAAGATCATATTCCTAAAACAATAATTATACGCGGAAACATTTCATTTCAAAATATTTATCACAAAGTCCTGAAGAATTAGGATCCGTAGTCATATAACCGTTTTCATGCCCAAACATTAAATCTGTGCTCAAACTATCCCTCTTTTAACTCGCTCAAGTCTTATGACACATGAATTAACCGTTTTGTGAGGTTAAGACACAGGAACTAACAATAGGCTTGAGATCTCTTCAAAACTCATGGAAATTATTGAAAAACACGATGGATCTTAATACTTTAACACCGAAGCAAGAAATTTTAGCTTGAGCACAGAATCTGCGTTGGAGCATGATAACGGGTGTTTTGTTTTGTTTTTGGTTTTAATTATAAATGCGTGCAAAGATTTGATGATTTTATATAGTGGTGAAATATTTATACAAAAAAGTCATCGCTTAAATGACACTATGTACAGAGATAAACCATATGTAAGAACATCATATACAAAATATTTTACTGGACTTCTAAACAAACATAATAGAAAAAAACATGCAATATGCAAAAATAAACATATAGACATAAATAAAATGATTTAAAATTTGAAATATTACTGAGGAACAAAAGTAAAATATTGCAAAACATACCTTTAGAGGCAATCGCAAACAAAATCGGGAAATACTCGTGTGACAATTTTAAAGCTACATGTATAGGATGATATAAATTTTTAGCAAAAAAATAATTTGAAGGAAATTCAGCAGATATTGTAATAACAAATGTAGTAGATAGGCACGATAATCACATCTTTAAAATTTGTTTAAAAATTCATTAACCAAGTTATAATGATAAATCAGCAGATAAAAAAATCCTTGATCATAACAGCTGTTCCCCATAACAAAATATGCAAATCAGACTGCAATTCAATGTTGCTGAAACAACGTCACTTCACTTCCGCTTCCGGTAATAGAAGTTCGATATGTCATTGATACACATATATACAACGTTATACTTGTTTGTATAGTAATGCATATGTATTAATGCTCTCGCACTTATTTAAAGACGAGATCAGAGATTAAAGAATTTAAAATCCAGATAAAGGCTACGCGTTTATTGGTATTACTTTTTCCAAGAGCGAATATAGAGTTAGCTTTATGATTAATTTCACACTCTCATTTTTTCTTAGTCTCGCATTCATCACATTTTATTCCGTTTGTTTGTAGCGTCCGTCGATGAAGTGTTTCAGAGTACGTGCAATCACTTGTGCATGCGTTCATTGCCGGCTGAATATGATGAAATATGTTCAGCTCATCGAAATACGCCACCAACGACTTTGTTGTAGAATCATTAGAAATGATGTAAAATGCAGAACAAGGGGTACGTTCGGGTTCATTGCAAAGTATACTGAATATGTAGTTGCTACTTATAATTAGAAAAATCATTAACCCCACCTTTTTCCAAAAGAAAACATTATCATACGCTATGTTCATTATAGCAAAAGGTTTTTCTTACTCTGGCAATACTTCTTTATTTAAATTATATATATTAAGTATCACATGTGTAAAGGCTTGCAGAATGTCAAAAATATTTCTGAAAGAATCAGAGAATGGCACTTTGATGTTGAACAGGGGGACACAAGGACAAACACATGTTCGCTACATGGAGTTGTGTCTCAGTCGCTATCCTCGTCTTTGTCAATCAAGCCAAGTTTTTGTCCAATCCACTTGCATTTGGAGATAATTTCATCTTGCATGAGTGTGAAGCACATGGAAAGAATAGCCATTCCAAACATCACGTATATAGCGCCAAGGACGAGCTGTGCATGCGCTCTTGGATTGTCGAAATCTGTTCCCGGGACAACGTCACCAAAGCCGATTGTGCTGAGCGTGATAAAGCAGAAGTAGGACGATTGGAGGGTATCCCATCCTTCCCAGAGTCCAAACAACACGGCACCGCCAAAGATGTAGGTTCCTATGACAACCATGGTCACCGTAAGAGGAATAGTGATGCTGCTATCGATGTCATCGTCGTCATCGTCGTCGTCTGACTCGCTGTCATATTCGGGGTTTTTTGGTGGTGGGGTCCTTTGAACGACACTTGACCCGGTGTTTTTCATGTTCAGAGGAACGACCTTGACCCCGTTGTCACGTTGATCGTCAACCTTATCAAGGTTATCCTTGATGCTCGGGGGTTCTCTACGCACGTTTTGAGGGTTGTTTACAATGCGTGATTTCTCGCTCCAGTTCGGTGGCTCGCTTTCCGTTGGTTTGATCTTTACGACTTTGCTGGTTTTTTCCTTCTTCCTGCACCATCCACAACAGAAGATCTTCGCATATATAAAGCGGAACACATCCGCCAGAGCGTCCCCAATGTTAGCGAGGCACAACAACATTAGCGGTATACCAAGTACCGCGTACGCTATGCAGACCAATCTTCCCCAGAACGTTTTCGGAGCTATGTGGCCGTACCCTGCAACGAAAACATGAAAACCAGTTCAGATAAGGAACATATTATATCTAAACCAGGTAAAGTGATCTAGGAATAGCACTGTCAAAAGCGCGCAGATATTATAAACATAATTTGTCACAAATTAACTTCCTCTATAAGCATCAGTGAATAATTTGTCTATTTGCCCTACTTTTTGTAGATTACAAAACCAATGAGAAGTATTTTTTTCTTTAAGGTTGCAAGGTACAAAAACATCAAAGATTAGTTTGTCTTTTGCATTTTTGTTTATACGGTATACATGATCACTGATTGTTTTTAAGTTTGTAAGGTACATAATATCAATGATTAATTTTTCGTTTCCTTTTTTTCTGGGTGGAAAACCATAAATGGTACGTGCTAATTTTGCCTTTTTCTTTACTTTGTAGTTTGCCTTTTTGTATTAATAAGGTATAAAGGCACACTTGACATGTATGTTTTAACTTGGACTTAAACGGGGCACTATTCTTTATATTACGGGTAATTTTTAAACCATTTTTCTTTCGTCAATTAAAACGCATATCGTCCTTACGTCACATTTATCCAACCCATTCACAACTAATATTTCCCCATGTACGACAAATATTTTCCCCATATACCCATGTACAACTAGTATTTTCCACATATACCCATGTACAGCTAATATTTTCCCCATGTTCCCATGTAAAACTAATATTTTCCCCATGTACCCATGTACCACTAATGTTTTCCCTATATACCCATGTACAACTATTTAAAAAAATCAAATTATCCATTTAGCTACCATATTTTGATAATCAATACGTCATATGATATTTCAAAAACGATAATTCATATAAATATTCCATTGAATTTACCATCTCATTATTGTCCTGCCACCTGACTAGAACTGAAACTGACATGAAACATTAACAATGAATGTAGACCGATCAATATATCAACCTAGGTATAATGAATCTACGTACTGCTCGACTCGGCGTTAGAATACATTAATTTTTCTACATTTATCATCGGAGCATGAAACACTGAGTCGCCTATACATTATTGATTTCTGTATTTCAAAACCTATGTCGCCATTTTCCTTTTTAAATTAGCAGAGTCCTTGTAACAGAAGCCGCCATTTTTGATGTTATGTTATCTCTTCTGATACTGATACGATGTTTCACTACATGTTATCCAGTTGAACTTGACAATAATTTGAACATCATGAATATAAATTAATATTATTGTAATAATGACAAGCGTTTGTGACACCTGAAGTGATCGATTAATATCCGGCAATTCCAAAATCCATACAAGGTTATCTTGATTATCCTTGTATTACATAGTTCCTGGTCCATACAAATCAAGATTTCTAAAAGCAGTCCTTGTATTGGGTCATATTGATCATATTAACATGGTCCGTACTGCGCATACATATTTTAATGCATATTGTTTTGTTTTATACAGATAATGCTTTGCAAAGTTGTCAACCGGTTTGTTACTCCCTACACACTAAGTCAATAAAATGACTAAGTGAAAATAAGTGAAACATTTGTGTAAAACAAGCCACTGGTTAGATTAAAATATATCTTCACTATAACTTCAAAAAATTGTACAATATGCCCTAAAATTTCAATAATATATCGCGGCTTATTTCCATTTTCAATAGGGAATTTCAGGCTTGTTTTCGAAGATGACTTATTTTCAAGGCAATCTTATTTTCGATGTCATTTAAACAATAAGCCGTCAATGGCTTATCTAGTCCTTCATTTTTTCCCATGATCCCCGATTTGACTGCGAGGAAACTAGAGACGTTTATATACATGTGTTTGTTTTTAAAAATATAGAAATAAATAATTTGCTTGATTAGGGTAGGACGGGAAAATAGAAAAAAAAAGTCAATCACTCGAGGTATGTGCAGCCACACGACGCGATATCAACCAGAACAATGCATACAACAACATAACATGTGCTATTTGATGTTTAATAAACTAGAGACGATTTTTTCTAGAGAAGATTGTTGTTTTTTGTTTTCCCTATAAAATGAGATATCGTTGATTTAGTATAGTTATGAATCAAACCAGAAAACATAACTGTTTTTGATATATCACAAAACGTCAAATCAAAATCGTTAACGAGAATTTTTTACCACTAACACCAGGGCGACTCATCGATAATGTGCTGATTTGTTTGGTAATGACGCTTTGTATCTACGCAACATGAAGGCATTGTAGCGTGTTGCTTTCGTCCAGCGGTGAAGTAATCTTGTAAAACTTATTTTTCCAATCACACGAGCTTCCGTATGATTGCTTTATAATGTTTAAATATAACATACTGCTGTATTTCATATACTGTTCTAATTTGATATCATTACAAATATAATATTACCCATTATGACGTCAAAAGAACAATATGATGACGTAACAAGTTCACAACAAAGGCAACAATTATTTGTCGCTTTACCTTATTTTCAAAATATTTTTTATTTGAAATATTCCTAAACTTAGTCTCTCTCATAAGATACTGTGAGCCCTGCTGAGGTAACAGCTAACAAAATTCTGTTACAATGGAAACTAATTTGATATTCTCTACTTATCGTATCTGACCTTAAGGTGTCGTCGTAATGCAAAATACTTCAAGCAGAAAAGAGAGTAGATCAATAACTCACTTTTATATTTGATCTTTGAACAGTTCGACAGTAAGCAAGCATCACAGATTCTAGAATAATAGCACGGGAGAAATTGTCACGGCACTATGTTCAGAGAAAATTGCTTTTTGATACACAGTAATTGCAGCTCGTCTATCGCCTGATTGAACACCCACGTATTGGCTGCTTTTACGCTGTTCAAAGTATAAATTTAACGAAGAGCAATGACGACAGACAATTAATCTGATATTGGTCGTTAAACAACCCTCTACTCAATGATAGACATTTCATATAGTTTATTAAAGCTCTCCTCAGCCAATAATATCTCATCTCCGTAAAAAGAAATATGAAACGTCAGAGAGAATGTTCATCAAACGAAATTTGTTTTTACAGTGTAATAGCCTGCAACAGCTGAGGTCATACCAAAAAGAGACCAAAGAATACACCGCCGAAAGGAAGGAGGATGCGAGAAATGAGGAAGATAGTGACCCGAAGTGTGACTGTAGGGGGCAGCAAGCAGTTCTGGTTTGTTAAGTTTCCCCTTAACAGGACACACAGAATTTGAAGAAAACCTGCGATTCTGCAGATTAAATTAATCGTCTTTTCTGACAAAACATGCATTTGGATACAGCAGGTATATTTTCCCCGAACATAAAGATGCGTCAAACGAAGTAATACTAGTGCATCAGAAAGAAGTCAGAAAATTTATTTATAAAGTGTAATTATTCGCTTTGTTTTTTTGTCTTTGTATTTTTTTTTATTTAAAAGCATTTACAACATTTTAACATTTATTTCATGTTTTGGTTTATGTAGTGTGTTGACACGACAGACGTATCGAGTGCCTATATACTCGTCTTAAATATTCCTGGTGATAAAATCCAACCTGCAATGTAAACATTACATCAAAAAGTCGATACAGCTGACAATACAATACAATCGGCGTGGTCGACATAGGCAAACAATGTAGTTTAAAGATCCTTGTCCCACTGCACTACAGGTTTTTTAAATTATAGTTACCCCTCTTCAATTTCCTTTCGGATATAACTGTAGCACAATTGGGCCTGACACTTCCGTTTAAAAAAAGGTGGTTCAGTCGGTAAGACTGACCAATGTTCGAATCCCGGGCTAGCCCACCGGAATATGTTTCACCCAGAACACCATTGATAATTTTATACTTTGTTTATTTAAACTTTATTTTTTCATAGACGTGCCGCGATGTATTGTTTTCTTTTTAAAAGTGATTTATCAAAGCAGTGGTACGGGGCTCCTTAATAAGTGTGAGAGAAAGCATTGCCACATCAGTCATAGTAATATTTTAACGTTAAATGAAAGCAGACATGTAAAAGACGATTGGCCATCTTAGTATTCATCTTGGTAAATGAAAGATATGATGTTTTATAAATGAATGTCGCGTTCTACAAAATTCATGTATCGATTTAACACGAACAATTTCGAACGACAGCGAACTGAGACATTATATAAAATTGATTTGACGGCAACAAGCATTATATTGCACATCCAAATTACTGAGCTGAAAGTATGCCGAAAGGGTGAGTTTATGTCAATTATAATAATGAAAAAGAACGATCAAAAGAAGTTTTATTGACCTGAATAGAATGAACTACAGTGAAGGAGAAGAAAGGCTTAGTGGCAATGATGCAATGACATTAGTTTCCAAGTACGAAAATATCGATTCATTGCTCCGTGAATGAAATCAACATGATTACGATGTCCGTTTCATTTCATCTGTCACCACATGAAGAGAACTATATGGTGTATACAAAGAATTGCTTTCAAAACTGTATACGTGACATGAGAAAGCCCAAGTCGAAAGTAACAAGACATTCAATACTTTGTTAAATTCCGTAGTCATGGTTATAAGGAGTTTTTAACATGAGCTAGAATGATTCTTTATAACTGTGATTATATCAAGTAAAATTGATCCACACTAGCGACTAAATTGCAGAATCTGAACTTTTCTTGTTTGTGTTGTGTTAAGTGAGCGTTATAAAAGAAATGGCTTTCCTTTTCTGCTTCCACTTTCTCTGTAACACTTTGACCTTTAACCCAAATCGACTATTTGTAACCTTTAACTCGTATCAAAACCAAAATCGAATGCAATACAAATTATCGTTATCAACATCAAGGGGAAATGATCACAGGACTTCGAAGATATAAATTGATGATGAATATGGACAATTTTTTTAATCGCTGTTATGTTGTCATGGGAAACATTATATTACCTTGTGTAATGGAACTCGATGTTATTATTTTGTTCATTAGTGGTGTTCCTTGCTGTTTCGTGGTCAATTCCCCGCTTCTCAATTTGGGAACATACCATTACTTAGTTGACCTAGATTTACATGGTGGGTGTTGTCAATGAAGCAAAATAAGTCTACCCTTCCGGAAAACCTGGTCTTTTTCTCCTTGTTCTGTTTCAAGGATCGCTGTGTAAATATTTCTTTGTTCGTGTTTTCCCGATTTTTATCGATTTTGAGTTGCAATTACGATTTTGTGTATACTGTGTTGGTATTCTCCTGTTTTCATTTGATTGCATATGACAATGTGTACCGATTATCGATTTGAACTTCTAATTACGACTTTGTTGACTTTTCACTATCTCCCTTTTCTTGTTTACCGACATTAAGAGGGATTAAATCCATTCATCTGCTATGACAATGCTTCAATAAAGCCAGAATTAATGACAGAGAAACCCAGTCTTTAGCGGCGATAAATGGGGTAAAATATAACTTAAAGACATCTGATGGTAAAATCTGCTTCCAATGTATGACTTCTTTTTTAATTGTAGTACCCTATCTCTAAAACTTTAGCAAAACACACAAGGTACTTAAAAACGCTGGCAAAGTAATACCCTACCTTTCTAACACAATGGTGAAATATGAGTTTATGGCGCCAAACACTAGAAAAGTGTGATAAGACTACATCCTACACATTAGTATCGCGCTTAAGCATCAGCAGAACAGTTACGCATCGCAAAAAATATAACGAAATCAAAATTACATCGCGAAACCTTCTCTTCACTCATTATTTCATCTCCTTGATTAGGAATTGCATGAACCGTACACCTCTTTAAGCTCTCATCTTTCTAGCTATATATTTACCTTATCACGAAAAGATAAAAAAAAAAAAACAATAAAAAAAAAAACGTTTCCAAGGGTAAAAACATCGAAAAACAACAAATGCATGAAACAGAAGGTGTTACAATAGGATTTGTCTTTAAACAAAGACATAACGATTACATGAGCATAATACATTTACAAGACATACAAAATGGAAGAATGTAAATGCATCTATAACTAAAACAAAATAATCACATTGTGAAAAGATATATAAAAAAGTAAATAAAAATGGATCATCAAGGAGGAATTTTAAAATACATACACCTATACACATTGCATTAAGATAGGAGTCAAAATTGAAAATGAGTGACTGTTGTACTTTGTCTTTTAATGGTCAAGATTAAAAGGCAGAAAACAGAACGAACAAAAAGCATTGACCAAAGATATTTATATTATTTTAAATAACAGATTATAAAAGGATTCTTTTGTCTTGAAATAAGATACACAAAACCTTATTAACAAATTGGAAGCACACAGTTAGACCAACACGAAATTCGAAATATAGAATACGCCATTTTGTTCTACTCACCGATGGTAGAGATCACTGTGACGGAGAAGAAGAAGGCTCCGGACCAGGACCACTTGTACTTCGGACCGTCTACCAGTCCGTACGCTGAGCAGTTGCCTCCGTCGTATCCTATGTTTATACTGTTGTCGCGGTAGATTTGAAGGATTCCTTGGAGCTGAAACTTCAGCGTGGACTTGTCCGGATTGCCTTCGTAGTCTTCAACTAACTGTTGGATCTTTGAGAGCGAGTCGTTTTCCATGACTATGTATTCCTTGTATGTGTCGTAGCAGATTTGTTCCTCGTTGGACTTTTCAAGATGTTCGAAGATGAATCCTCCTGCAGCACAGTAGAGTGCCACCAAACCACACAGCCCAATGTGGGAGAACATTATCTTCATAATTGTCCGACACCATCCTCCCTTTTCTTGCTTACCCATGCTTGATAGTTAGTGATGTCTGTGATATAATTCCCCAAGTCCAATTATCGTCTTTTGGTTTGTAAACTTGACTTGATAAGATAATGATTACTTGCTTTTTGTCTCTTGTCCCCCGAAACGTTCTACATCCTGGCACGATCAGGCTACGGCTGGATGATGTGACAAACCGCAGCGCAACTCAATACACCTGGCTTTTACCTGCGCGTGCTGTTCCTGCCACCCAGCCACGTATCTATCTACGTCTGCTTGCCTCTCATAAGCGATTCGGTTGACATGGGACACCCTGGAAAACATCGATCGACATTGGTAGCTTATACAGGTTCTATAAATTATTAAATAATACATTGGAAAACATCTCAAAATTACTATCGATTTCAACATCTACCATACGACAATACTATGTTCTATAATAATACGTGTGCTCCTTGAACCGGACAGCATGACGGTATGTCATGGATATTTCAACGACCAATATTGCTCTGTCGAGTGATGTTAAAATACCTATGGAAATTGCCATCTACGAATCAATAGCAGAAACAATCCTGAAACGCTGAATGTGTCAGCACGACTCCGTCAATACATTGTGGCATTCAGTTTTGGTCTAGTGATTCTTGTTCCACTTCAGATAGCTGACGCTACAGTTGTCCCGGGATAAAGAACACTGCTTTCTGTGTGAACACGAATAAT